AGAGTAAATTACTCTTCCACACAGTAAATAACGAAAATTTAAAATAAAATTAAAACTCAATATTCTATATTGAAAATAAAGGAAAACATAAATTTACGCTTGAAATAACTCAATATGCGTTAAGCTATATGTTTAAGATTTATGTANGATTTTGGTAAAGTATAAGTATGAGCATATGCACTTCTATTTTTTATTTATTATTAAATTAAATTTATATATATATATATATATATAAAAAAGGAATGAAGTTACCATATATAATTAGCATTGTGGTTAAGCCAAGTGGCAAGCTATTAAAAAGTCACTTGACATTCTTAAAGTGAGTTTAGGAAAAAAATTTCAAATAAGAAAATTGAACTTATATGGAATCCAATTTAATGAAAATCTTAGTTTTGACTCTTATATGGCAATCTTCTATTCAATTTTGTTATGGATCTTTAATTGTTTCATATCCGGCTAAGTAGTTTATTTTGTCCCAACAAATCTTGTATTATTAAAGGAATAAAGTTACCATATATAATTAGCATTATGGTTAAGCCTAGTGGCAAACTATTAAAAGCCACTTGGCATTTTTAAAGTGAGTTTAGGGGGAGATTTTCAAATAAGAAAATATAACTGATATGGAATCCAATTTAATTGAAATATTAATTTTTTTTAAAATTTAGTTTTGACCTTATATGGCAATCTTCAATTCAATTTTGTCATGGATCTTTAATTATTTCATATCCAGCTAAGTAGTTTCTTTTGTCCCGACAAATATGCAAAAAAGGAAAAGTATGAATTTATTAAGATAATTAAAAGTTGTATCAATTTCCTATAAAGATGCAAATATCATATAGAATACTATAATTATGGAAAAAAAAAAAGAGAGAGAGAAGACAAATCTATCAAAACATTCATGGATATAAAAGTTATAGGAATTATAACAAAAAGGAAGAAGAAATAAATAAAGCTATATGAACTGTTAAAAAAAAGAGTAAATTACTCTTCCACACAGTAAATAACGAAAATTTAAAATAAAATTAAAACTCAATATTCTATATTGAAAATAAAAGAGAACATAAATTTATGCTTGAAATAACGCAATATGCGTTAAGCTATATGTTTAAGATTTATGTAATTTTTTGTCATGTGTAATAATAATAATAATAGTTTATATTCTTCTATCTATTTATTCTGTTAAACAAAATCAAACAAAAACTTATCCAAGCTTTTGAATTGAAAAAAATAACTCCAAAGACGAAAAAATACCTTGAGATTTTGGTAAAGTATAAGTATGAGCATATGCACTTCTATTTTTTATTTATTATTAAATTAAATACTAGATAAAATAATTATATCAAATTTTATGGTAAAGGAAATAATATAGAAAGAGGAGATGGAGATAGTGTGAGAAAATTTATACTTTGAGTAATGTAAAAAATAAAATAAAGATAATAAATAAATAATACTCAAAAATATTATTGATAAGTTTAAACATTAATCTGAGCTATAGAATAAAAGAACACAAGAGAATATATGAAAATATTTATTACAAGAAAAATAAAAACCAAAGTCATTGTTATAATGAGAGTAGCGAAAGATATGAACAATTCTAAATTATGGGTAACTTAATAATATGGACAAGAAACCAAAAAAAAAAGGAGAAACCATACGTAAATACAAAATTTCCGTGTTGAGATATGGATAAGACTTTGAGATGAGAACTTTTTTTGAAATAATTCATATGGTCATGCTATATAGATTATATCATGTAATAGAAAATATGATAATAGATAAAATTAAAAAAAAAAAAAAAGAATATAGACAATTGACATAATTCTGAGAAACAAATAAAAATATAATTTTTTATGTAATAATTTTAATAAAAATATTAAAAGTCAACTTTCATACTAAATACAAAAAAGGAAGGAGAATTTAATTTAATTGCTTATTGAAAGTGATACTAAAATATAATTATTAAAATTATTATTAGATATATGACATATAACAAACGAACTTCTCTATTTAAACTTTAAACTAATTCAACACCACGCATTTAGAAAACTAATATGACAATATTCATATTATAGATAAACGCTAAATAAAAAAGTTAAAATATTATAGAACAAAAACTAATGTATAAAGAGAAAATAGAGATAATATGATTTTATCCATACTTTAAATTTATTTGACAAAAATAAGTAAATAAATAATACTCAAAAATATTCTTGAAAAATTTGAACAACGAGAGAATTCTGAGAAATAGTCATACAAGATAAAGTCAAGTTAAATTTTTTGATTAATACAAAATTATATCCATTTTATTATATTAATGTTGTAAGTTACTAATAGTTTCATGTCATAATTTGATAATACTAAGTAATGGATAATGCAATTAGAATAAGCAAAGAACAAAAACAAATAGAGAAATATAGAAATATAAGACTTATAAATAGAATTATGATGAGAAAATTCGTACATATACTCATAATAGAAATTATAATAAATAAAGAGTCATAAAGGAAGAATATTAAAGAAAAAAAAGAATTCCAATCGATATAGTAAAATGTATATATTAATTAATTTGCTTCTAAAGGAAATTTTAGTTGTTAAATAGATGAATATAACTCATAATTCCATAGTGAAAATAATTAAAAAATAAAATAATATTAGAATATTTATACATAAGATAAGAATATTATATAAATAACACAAAATAAAAATTATTAAAAATATTAGTATGTTTTTTAAAAAAAATTAAAAGGCTTATCTTTTTATATTTTTGACGAATTTAAAATTATAATTTAACCAAACAAAAGATATTAAATAATTTTAATTATTAGTAGAATGCAAAATGAGAAAACTAATCAAATAATACAGTAGAAAAGAATGTATAAAAAGAAAGGGATAAAGATAATATTAGAATATTTATTATTTAAACTAATTAATAAAAATGAGAGGTAAGTAAAGAATACTCAAAAAATATATTGATAAATTTAGACAATAAATAATTTTAAACAGTAAACATAATAAAAATATTTTCAGAGTAAGAATATATATATATATATATATATATATATATATATAT